TTTCAGAAAATAAATGCCCCAGAATGACGTACGGAGCAGGATGAAGTATTCATTGACTTGGGAACCTATACAGTACTTTTGGACAAAATGGGTGAGTTTTGCAGAGTGGCAAAATTTGATATTTTAATTCTTTAAAAGAGTTGATTAGTGATGAAAATGAGTAGAAATATTGGTAGTTTTCCTTTTTGGTAAGAATCCTGCTCCCCTCTGTCTCAGTCATTTGGTCTGTCCAGTTAGAGTGGCTTGGCAGTCTTACGATATTTGAGTACATAAACCTTTGTTAGGTAAATTAGGAGAGTATAAAATGAATTTTGTAGAAATTGTACCAAATGGTTTAAAAAAAAAAAAAACGCCTCTGGGTCTCTTTCTCTGCAGTGTCCCATGAACAGGTCTTCTTCCACAGCAAGCTTTTCTTCACCATAAAGGTGGCATCAAGTCCTTGGGGTTTAAAAATAGTATTTGCTCGGGCAAGTGAGGCCAACGTCTATAACTGCCTGGAGCAGGATCTGTCATGTCTCAGTGACCCGGGGTGGCTTTGGTCCAAAGCACGGTGATTGGGCCCTTAATTCACTTCCGAGGAAATGAACCGTTCTTCATGCTGTTGCTCCCCACTGAAAAACTCCCTCACGGGTTTATCTGGATAAATCCTTGGCAGCCTTCAGCACCCAGATCATGTTTTGTCTTCTCCAAGGAGCCTTCTTCTCTTCTGTAAATGCCTCCCTCCTGAAGCTTCTGTTTCCTTGCCGTGAGGAACTCCTGCAGGTGAACACTTACTGTGGTACCCTGTCAGGATCTGCTGTGTAGTTGTTTCTTGTGGATTAGACTCCGATACAGCAGCATGCCTTCTACCACCATTCTGCGTCCCACTCGGCGAGTACGGTGCGCACAGGCTTTGCTACTTCCGAGTTGTTAGCTAGCTAGCTAAGCCCTGGCGTTCTTACCCTAGCCAGTTTGTCAGAGCCCCTGAGAACTAGTAACGGGACCACATTCTCAGGGTCACATCAGTGTAACCCGTCCAGCTCCAGGGAGCATCAGCCACATGGGAAGTGAAGAGGAGGTCATCCACTTTTTTGCCCAATGTGGCGGCCTGTGTGTCCTCTTGTGTCTAGAAGTGGCCTGTGTTTACACATTATTGTGTTACATTCGCTGGACTGGAGACTCTTTCCTACCTCCATCCTGTTATATGTTTGTCTGTTTCAGTGGGAAGTTAAAAATTAGTAAGGAGTTGGGGCGCCTGGGTGGC